CAGAGCTCTTTTGTGACAGGTTTTTAGATTTCAGTGAACTAGAGTAACGGCCGATTTCTTAAATATCTAAGATAAGATAAGATAAGATAAGATAAGATAAGATAAGATAAGATAAGATAAGAGAGCTTTATTGATCTCACAGTGGAGAAATTCTCCGACTTTTCCTGATTCCAAACAGGAAAACAGAATCAGATCCTGCTCAGACATCCACATATCTCAACGCTTAAGTCATTTTCTACTGACCTTGGGGGGTTTGAATGGGTAGTCGGGTGTGAAGGCGATGTCCAGGAAGAAGACCCCTCCCTCGTAAACGGAGCCCGGCGGCCCCAGGATGGTCGACCTCCACTCGTAGATGTTGTCTCCTTTTGGGCCGGCGCTGCAAACGCACAAACAAAGGAGCGGTTAGCATGTTAATTGGGGCGTCCTGGTGCTGAAAATTGCCCAAAGGGCTGAGCGGTTTGTTGGGGGGGGGGGGGGGGCGCAGATCTGGGGGATGCCGACGCCGTGGAGGTTGGGAATTGTTTCCGTTTGGGGCCATTTTTAGCTGGATTTCCATTCATCTCTCACATGCGATCACTCAGACACAAGGCCCCCCCCACACCCCCCAGGACAGATCCTGCAGCTCCACATTGAGCCAGAGGGAAGCGGGAAACAAAAAAAAGAAAAAACGCACGGCGCTCATTCATCATTTTCCGTTGCTACCATAAGATCGAGCAAAAAGATGAAGGTCCATCCGTTTTATAAGGCCAATTAATTAACCCCATTTCCATATCGGGGGCCCCCCCCCCCCCCCCAATGTCGGTGGAAAAGGCCCCGGTTTGGCTCACGGCCAGTCAGAGCCCGGGACCGTCGGCCGTCCCTCACTTTGTGGCTCCGACAGAGCCTTTTCTCCACAAATAGAAATAGAAACGAGACGCTTCCTTCCTCCTCCGGCGTTTCCACCCGCCCCTCCCCCCTCAAGACGCCTTTAATTGGCCAATTGGGAGAAATTACACCTCAGCACGCGGCCTCGGAGAAGTTCCCCTCTCCAGATGTGGTTAAAAGATGCCTCGGATTTGACTGGAAAGACAAAAAGACGATCGTTTGTTCCCCCTGAAGTCCATCACCGGCCCTTTAAAAGACTGCTCTCATTCATTTTGGCTGGGGAAAAAAAAACTAGTTGATGCCACTTAAAATGCACCAAATTACCTGGAAAAAAAAAAGGAAAAAAAAGACAGTTTCTCTGGACAAAGGTTGCTTTGTCCAGTTCAGACAGAGGGAAAGGGACCCGGAGTTGGAGGGATGGAGGGATTAGCGGGAGGAGACGGACATCTGACAGCCAGCTGGAGGACGACACGCGGCTCCCATTTAGAGGGTTTCTAAATTCTTCTGCTGTTACCGAGCAGATTAGATCGGAGAAACGAACGTGACGTGATGCTGATCGTCTGCTCTCACACGGACAGAGAGCAGGATACCCTAAACGATGCTTTGGATGAGGGGGGTCTTCTGTTTTTAGACGTGAAACGATCAAGTCGGACGTTATTAATCATGATAAAACTGAATATTAATCAGTTTTTCCGTTTGGAAAGCTGCATCTGAACGTCACCACCAGAAGCCAGACGACACCCAAATGACTTCTTTTACTCTTGGCCATTTTTGGGGTCTGGTGTGTGTGTAAGGCTCATTTCCTGTGTGATATTCGGTTATTGGAGCGTCTCAAACGCAGGACAAACGGGAACCGGCTCGGTGTGACTCAATGCTGGGAAACGCTGACTCTTACCAACAGAGCCTCTCAGAACCAGAATCAGAAACACTTTAATAATCCCAGAGGGACGTTATTTACTCTCCGGATGGCATCAGCGAACAGCGGCGATCTGAGCCACTGGAAGCTAATGTCTTTGTAATAAGGCGGACAAACGGAATTTGACCAGAGCTGAACTCGAGGCGGTCAGCGGGACGCTTTGATCAAAGACAAAGCGCGATAACAAACCGTGTGCTGTTCACAGCTTCCAGCAGACCTTTCCCCATGTCTGCATCACCCCCACCGCCCCCCCGCATCCCCCCCTA